TAAGCACTGTGTTGAACGAGAAGCTAATTCTAAAAATAACGGTCAACTGCGGAAATGCGAAGCTCTTCAGTAAAATGAATGGAGAATTTGGCTGCTTGGCGTTTGTAAAAACAATACGCGAGATTTGGCTGATTCGTTCTGTCGAGTAAAGATGACTCAGTGGTAGAAGTCCTGACTGATATCAAATCAGTTGTGTTTCGATCCAGGCTTGAGACGTTCGGCTGTCTAGTCGCTCTGTCGTGTTGCGTTAAAGCGGAACAGCAGTGTCTGCGAATAATGTGTATATTTTGAACATATTAAAAATTTCAGATACACTAGGTTTTTTGTTTTATGATTTCAGTGGGGTTCCTCGACTAGTTTCGGCCAGCATAGCAATCATCAGGAGAAACAATCCTTGCTTGTTAATAGCCGTTAACTGCAGGAGTGAATGACTGTTTTTGAAGAAAAAAAACTTTATCTGTGGTTTTCATTTGATTTTTTTATTGTTAATTTTGGTCAGACCTTGTGTTGGTCAAACACAAGTTTTATCTATCTATCTATCTATCTATCTATCTATCTCTCTCTCTCTCTCTCTCTCTCTCTCTCTATATATATATATATATATATATATATATATATATAGAGAGAGAGAGAGAGAGAAAGAGAGAGAGAGACTGGGGAGACATAAATCTAAAGGACTGTAATAAATTCTTAGGAAATAAAATAATAGCATTCTTTCAAATCACATATTTCATACGCATGTATACGAAATAAGTCATTTTAAAGAAGTACAGCATGGTCCGAAAGTTTTGTCACCAACTTCCTAGCAAAAACGCAATGAGAACACGAGAAGAACATGTAATGTCGCAATACAAAGCCCATGTACTGGATTCGGTTTATTCACTTTCATTGAGGCTGTCAGACATCGGGAAAGTCTGTATGAACACCACCATTTCCGTGTAGAAGTTCGTGTCAACCATCTGAAATAGAATGTGAACATGCCCATCAGAATATAGACACACACACACACACACACACACGCGAAAACTCCTGATTTACCTTACCAATAAAAAAACAAAAAACTTGATTTACTTGACCAATAAAAAACAAATAACACTGAAGTCAAAGTACAGGAACTTTCTCTTCCATAACTTACTTCCCGAAATTTCTACAGAAATGCAGATAAGAGAAAAACATATTAAATTTATAAATTGTGTTCTTTATTCTATAATTCTGTTGGAGTTTACTCCCGACTTGATTCCAATTCATGTACAAGCATTGTGTGTGTGGTGGGGGGGGGGGGTCGGGGAATATTCGTATACATACAGATTTCTAATTTATTGTATTTTCAACTAATGAATAAACATTTCATATAATTAACTATATACAGATGCATAATAACTAAATATGCATAGAAAACAGAGTCTGTGGTGTATGTTTTATAAAATGTCTTCATTTTTTACCGGAAACTATTCGTAACATTTGACAACAAAATATAATCGCATCATCTACATGCGAAAAAAAAAGGCTAAAAAAATGGAAGCTTTATTAATAAAAAAAAAAATTCTTAATAATATTAACTTTGGCCATGGACACACTATCTTGACCGTGTTTTGAAATATGAAAACATTTTATAACACATACATGCAACAGACTATTTCTTATTTAACAGTTAAAATATTTAATCCTTGAAAATGGCTAAATATAGAGCTGAAAGCGCTCAGATAAAAAAAAAAAACCCAAAAAAACATTCGGACATTTTTTATATAATTCATCATCTGAAAAGAAAAAAAGAATTATTAGATCGCATGAGAAATTGTATAAAAAAAACTAAATATAATCATCTTGCCTGTTGAATTCAATGAAATGTGCATGAAAGAAAGATTGCTGCCTAAATACACACACACACACACATATATATATATATACAGAGAGAGAGAGAGAGAGAGAGAGAGAGAGAGAGGCACGGTGGGGTAATGGATATCGGCTTGGATTGAGGAATCGCAGAGTCGAGCTCGAATTCAGGTTGAATCCATTACATTCCAGCTATGGGTAAAATAGGAGGACAGACTGCGTTCTATAGCCTTGGATGGCAACTGGTCTAGGAGAAGGACAACTCTTAATTCAAAACCTGAGGGGGGTTGTTTGGAAACCTTGTGGCACGTATGCACAAGGTCTCTGTATTCGGCCCTTCAAAAAGTGTGGATGGTCCTGCACGAAACATTCACCACTATAAGCGAATCTCATGTGCCGGTTTCGGGCTGTCAGTTTCCTGGAAACTGATCTGCTTGACCCTCATACGTCGAACCCGTCAGGAGGATCGATTATTATTATTATTATTATTATATATATATATATATATATATATATATATATATATATATATATATATATATATATATATATATATGTGTGTGTGTGTGTGTGCGCGTTTTTTTGTGTGTGTATATTATGTTGGGACAGTGTTAGATGATTACGTTCGTAGCACAATAAAGTAAAGTATTTAATGAACAAATCATTTTTTAAACATATATCCTTGCCAAAAGCAATTGATACAACGTGTGTCTGCGGCAATCCGGTTCTTGTCCGATCACCGAAGTTAAGCAGTCTCAAGTTAGGTGACTACTTGGGTTGGTGACCGCTTGTGAACACCTGATGATTTAAGCAATCCAAAATGTTTTAAATGACACACAAAGTGTTGATAAACAGTTTGCCCTCCCCACAAAAAAAACAAAAAAAAAACAAATCAATTATTGAATAAATCTCTGGCGAACGCATAGGTCGAACATTATACACTGAAACTTTCTGATCAACATACGGCTAAACACTTTATTCGGCTACGAGTTATTTACACACGTTCCAAAACAATAACATATAATCGCTCACACATATATATGTGAATATATATATATATATACACACACACGCATATGTATATATATATATATATATATATATATATATATATATATATACACACCAAATGTAGGTATAAGTATATTTATTAATATTTATTTCTTAGCTCTGCCTAACCAAATCGAGCACTATTATGTCTACATCTCTTGGCAAAATTTAGTAATTATTTATTTGCTTTACTGTATTTGCACGCCAGCACGCATGTACACGGTTGCTAATATCTAGTTATTTCATTTACCTACCCTTTTTATATATATATATATATATATATATATATATATATATATATATATATATATATATATATATATATATATATATATATATAGAGAGAGAGAGAGAGAGAGAGAGAGAGTGAGAGAGATGTGTGTGTACACTTTCACTTATAACTGACGTAGAAGTCAACAAACAAGTGCGCTTCATTCGGTGCAAATCGTTGTCCTTGCTAGTCACTTGCCGGGCCAAATGTGTAGACCTGCGGCCAAAACGCCTCATTCGCTTCGGCCTGACGCCAACATTGATAGCAGAAGGCCGTTCGACAGCCATTCGCTCTTCTTATCAGCGACGTTTCGGCTTCTCTTGGCTCCAATTTCCTTTCCTGCCGACACTGGGCTTAATCTAATGACCTTCTCTACTCGCCAGTCGAAATGACTGGCCGCCCAATCTACATCAGCCTAGAGCTTTCACTTCTTTTGTAATCGATATACAAACTAAATACGCTGAAGTAGGGAAAAGTGTGTGTGCCATTGACCAGTCACTTTCGTGATGGATGCATGCCTTTGCGTGATTTTCTAAGCGGAGGTTAGATGTGATTTTCTAATCGTAGCTTAGATGTGGCACAAGGCCGAAAATATGGGGCGCCCAACGAGCGTCGAACTCACTATTCAGTCGTAATTGTTCTAGCATGACAAGCTTGCTATCCGTTACACCTCGTTTTTGCGTGTTTATGGTTTATGTATACAACGTAAGTATTTAACGTAAATAAAACATGGTCAGATTTTAGTTAGATTAATATAAAGATGAAATAAATGGATTTTAACTCTGTGATTTGTTGATATTAAATGTGAAAATTATTGACGAAACGCTGATCAAAGTGAAACATGTTGAAAAATTTTGATCAAACTGGAAGACGTTCTGATCAAAAGTGTTACAACTATTAAGGATGAAACGTGGATCAAACTTTGATCAATATGAAGATATGGGTAAAAATGTTGATAAAACTGGAAGAAATATTGATCAAATGTGGATTAAATATTGATGAAATATGACGAAATGGTGATTAAACGATGGTCAAATTTTGATCAAATGTGATTCAATTCGATCAAAATATTATATAATTATTTGCATAATATATATTATGCCTTTGAATTCCTTGAAGAATATAAGACCGCAAGATATCGTTGCGGTTTCTGTAACAAACCAGTTTTTACGGGGGTAGGTCTTGAATTCAGTGTTTTCTTTTTCTTACATCAGTTGCCACCTAAGACTATAGAACCCAGTCTGCCCTGCTATTTACCCATAGCTGGAGGGAGAAGAAGAAGATTCACACCTTTCCTTAGGGCATTAGCACATAAGTGTATGTAATGGATTCGACTGGAATTCGAACTCAGCTCTCCGATTCCTCAATGCAAGCCGCTATCCATTACTCCACCGTACCTCTTCCTCTTCATAATACGCACTTCTCTCTTCTCATTACGCCAACCTCATTCATTAACAGTCTAATTTGAGCGTTTCTTGGCCCTTGAACTTCGTGAACTGTAGTATAATATACAGTGATCCCTCGTTTATCGCGGTAGATTGGTTCCGAGACCGCGATAACTGAATTTCCGCAAAGTAGGGACGCCATATTTACAGTATTTATTTAACGTGTATTTGGACTTTTAAAACCCTCCCTGTACTGTTAACAACCCACCCATTACAGTACTCTATTAATAAAAAGGACAATTGTTAAGCAATAACACTTTAGATTAAAAAAAATAAAGATTGTTACTGTATTCAACACCATAGAAGTTGAAGTAGAATTTGAATGATGATGGTGATGAATTTACTGCGCAGTAGAAATGATGATGATGAAGCTGATAATGACTTCTACAGTGCATTGTATTTTACGTCCCTTCAGACGACGGTGCTCTTTCCTGGGTCACCTCTTCTATTTCTTCCGAAGGTGCAGCCGTAGGAGTAGCAGCAGGAACCGGCTCTTTTTTTGCGAGGCAGCAAAAACATTTCAATTCTTTAGCCAGGTTGCAGAGCTTGGCCAGCCGTTCCAAAGTCAAGCAAGTTTGGTCGACGAATTCTTCCGTTTCTTGCTGCGTTTCTTCTTCTTCGCTGGCCGACATCGTCAAGTCTTCGAGGTCTGCGTCGGTTAGTGGCTGGAAGTGACAGTCTAATAAATCGTCGATGTCTCCGGTGGTCACATCACCTCCAATGATCGCAGCCAACTGCAAAGCTTTCTGTACTGCGGAGTGTTGGATTTCGGCAGGTGTAATTCCCTTGTCGTCGTAAATACCATCGGGCAACAATGGTGGCAGGCTTCATTTCTTGCGGTGCCTTCTGGGTATTCTGAAGGCACGTAGCAATTCTGTGCTGCCGCCAGAATGCCTTCAAGTTAAAATTTTCATCTTCGTTTTCTAGGGCGGCATCCAAAGAAGCAATCAGGTTCACCAGGACATTCCTCGTGTACAGGGACTTGAACGCCTTGATAACCCCCTACTCCATTGGCTGAATAAGTGACGTAGTGATGGGCGGCAGGAACTCATTCATAATGCCCTCATGCGACAGATCAGTAGCGTGGTCACCAGCGTTATCCATAACGAGAAGGATTTCGAATGGCAAGCCCTTCTCTAATAGATACACCTTGACTTGCGGGATAAAACACTGGTGGAACCAGTCGAAGGTCAGCATCTTCGTTATCCACGCCTTTGGATTGTGCATGCAGTGTACGGGTAGCAGATTCTTGTTTTTTGTTTTTTAAAGCCCTTGGGTTTTAGACTTGTAAATAAGTCCTGGCTTTAGCAAAAAAAAAAAAAAAACCCTCAACATTGTCACACATCAATGGGAGTCATAAGATTCCTTGTATGCTTTAAAGCCAGAGGCTTTTTCTTCTTCTTTGCAAAGGAAAGTTCGCGACGGCATTCTTTTCCAAAACAAGCCCGTCTCGTCCATAATAAAACCTTGTTCGGGCTTATATCCACCTTCGGGGATAATCTTGAAAGTTTCATTCATGTATGTTTAAGCAGCACTCATGTCAGCAGAAGTAGCCTCGCTATACAGGAAAACGCTTTTTAGGTCGAAGCGTTTCTGAAACTAAGCAAACCATCCTTTTGCTAGCAGAAAAGGACGTTTTTAGGTTGTGAATCACTGGACGTCCCTGGTTGCGGATCTTCTACGTCTTCTTCCTTTTTTTCGTGGTTGCCACTGTCGTCCTCAGGTTCCTTAGCAGCGAAAAATCTCGTACAGGCACCTAGCCTTTGTTTGGATGATATTCGTATCCAAGGCTATGTTCTTCTTTCGGCAGTCGGCTATCCATACGGCCAAACCAGCTTCCATACGGATGATAGTTTCATTACGAGCCGTAACCATTCCCTTCGCAGATTTATTAAAGGTGATCGCAGCCGTCTTCCTAATGTTAGCCTCGTCCTTCTTGATATAGCGAACGGCGGATTCGTTCACGCTAAAATTGCGGGCTACGGCAACAAAAGTTCACCCCTCCTTAAATATATCCAGAAGTTTCACCTTCACAACGATCGTCATCATTCTTCGTTTGCGTTTAGTCTCAGTACCAGCAGTGGAAGAAGCAGCACGCTTGGGAGCCATTGCAGGGGATGAAAATGCAAAGTTCAACGCAAAGAAAAAAAAAACTTACACACAGCACAGCGTAAAGTAGTACAGTAAACCGCTCGGCGAAAAATCTTGAAGTGGAATAGCCTTGAGAGAAAGACAAGGGAAAATCCTGCGGATCTGAGCATCGGTCAAAGCACCAATCATAGACCAGATTACAAAATAGAAAGCTGTGATTCGTCGTCTCTGTCCATTGCACCAATCACAGCCTGTCTTACAACGCATTTCTTCACCGAGATGGTACGCTTTGGTTTGTCTCAAAATTATGGATTATATATATATATATATATATATATATATATATATATATATATATATATATATATATACAAGATCTTATGTAATCTCGCAATAAACACGAGTACACAAAAACACGACAATGTGACATCCTCCAGCCATAGTATATCCCTAACATGACTTGCAAACTTGAATTTTTCGATTTGTTTTATTTAAATAACTACTCTATAATTTGTAACCTTTTAATGGGTGCATTTCATATTAATAAAATAAAAGTTTTCCGATTATTATTATATAAATGTATTTACCTATTTTTTCTAAATTTATATTAGTGGGCCGCCAAATTTAAAATTCTACATTTATTGGTCCATGAAGATCAAAATCTTGACGACAGCCGCACTAGAACATTTGTCTCTTGGCTTAAATAAGTGATGGTTAAATAATACCGGGTTCCTTAGTGGTAACCCCACCTTCCTGTGGGTGTGGTAATGTTGCGAAGTCGCATTTTCTGGTTGACTGGAAAACAAATGGAAGTATCACAACGGTGATTAACTGGTTGGTTGATTTTCTTTGCCGACATTTCAATTTCTATGGGTTACTTCAGGACGAAATCTAAATATTTTACCCCTAATGTTATTCTTTCAGGGCAAATGTAACAAATAAATATTTTAGATAAATATTTTAAATAAATAGTTTCAATATATATTTTCTACATTATAAAATATATTCTTGCTAATTTTACTATAAAAATATATTTTTATATTTGATTATTGTCGCTTTGATTGTAATTTTGCTATAAAATGTACTGTTGGTAATTTTATTATAAATATATATTGTTAGTTATTTTATTATAAAAAAAAGTATTGTGGTTAGTTTATTATAAAAATCTACTGTTGATTTTTGTTTCGGGGTTCACTAACATGTGCCACCACCCCGAGTCAGTGTGGACCTGGGAAGCACAGCAATTAAAGAGGCAGTTCTACGCTTCCCAAAATTCCCGATTAGGGGACTTGCTGCCGGATATAGTTTATCGTAATACCCAGGATGAACAACAGTGAATAAGACTGGTGAGTATATACTGATGTGAAATATAACCTCAGGGCGAAAACGAACAATTTACCCCAGTGGATTGAATAAAGGGTTCATTTTGAAATTCGAACATGATGACAAAGTACAAAACTGACTGAAAGAAGGCCAACGCCTGAATCATTGTTTGTTTAACAAGATGAGCATGCTGGTCCGAATAGCAAATCATGTGTAAATAGACAACAGGTTCTTCTTTCAGCTTTTTCTCTACTCGGCTAAATCACTTAAGCGTTGTGTCGATTCTGTCGCTGGACTCAAAAACTGGGAAAGGGACGTTGCACGTTCACGATTTATCTCGTGCCATCAAAGAGTTTACTCGCAATGCTACTTTTAGCGTGAAAACAATGTTATGACTTCACTTGAAACTATAAATCAGCTCATAAAATTCCTTTATTGTCTAAGTTGGCTATTTTAAACCTGGCGTTTGAGAAAAGGATTTCGTAGTAAACATCTGGCAGTCAACGTGTTAAAGACCTCTACACAGCATCATTTTCTACTACCCAGTTCGTGGTTCAACCATGCATGAAATTATACTCATTGAAGATGAAACAAATATGAAATCAATTATTTGTATATATTCCGTTACTTTTGTTTTCGTTCGTATATCTTTTTCGTTTATCGCTGGACAAGTTTAATTTTGATTAGAGATCAAATTCCAGGGAAAAGAACCCCATATGAGGTTTTTTTTCAGAAAATAGGCAATCATGGCTTTCAAAAGCTTCCTATACCTTGTGGCTCTTTGCCATACTTCTCGAACACCATGCGCTAGCCTTTCATGCTAGTCAGTCTCTCTGCCTTCTCCTGTTTTCTTGATCTCGATATATCCTGAGAGGGGTAAGTTTCCCAGGCCTTTTTTCCTCACTGTGATGTAATGAAACTTCAGCTAATTTCTTTCTGATTCTAGTTACAAGCTTTCTTAATGTGGCAAGTTTATTTAAGACTTTTGTCGTTGTGTTCCTCGGTCCGTTCATCGGATTCACAGTATCCTGAAACAGAACCGCTTTTATGTCGCCACAAGATTTTTCTTTATCTGCGAAGAGATTGTCCAGCGTATTCTGCCATACGAGATTGATATCCCACAACAATTCAGCAATGCTCTTTTAACTCAGTTATTATACGCCTTTTTTATCATTTAAATTTCAATGATGTGAGAGAAAGTTAAGCAATAATAAAGGGTAAATATTAAATAGAAAAGACTACATCAGCAAGGTCGATTTTGCTGTTTTTAAACTACAATCTTCCATGATTCTCTCACATACATTCATATCTGCTCGATGCTTATCCAAATGTTAAGGAATCTACCCCTCAGATATTTAAATGTGGGTATCTCATTTAATTTGAAGAACAATGGAAATGTTATAATATTTTAGTCAGTTTTATTCTTAGAGTTTTTTTTTCTTTTATAAGGAATAAGTAAAAAACTTTCAATCGTGATTATTTTTCTAATCGCTTTTTCGGCCAATTCATTGTCAGTGGGATTGTTTTTGTATAGTCATATGTCTTTATATTCTAATCTATACTCTACAGAAATAGTAGTAATTCTAAGCCGTGCTGCAGAGAAATATCAGTCAGTCAGTTATGTCCCACACGTGATACACGGTTGAGCGATCATGTACCTTTCGATACATGACTGACGTGACAGATTTTTTCCTGCAGTAGGTTGTCATTTCTTTCTGAGGGAGAGGGGTCGCCAACCAAGTCTAAAGAATCCAGTCCGTCTCGCTATTCAACCCATAGATTGGGGGGCGAAGAGATGGATTCTTACCTTTCCCAAGGGTATTTGTGCATAAGTGAATATAACGAACTCGAGTGTAATGCGAACACAGCCCTCCGAGATTTCATTAATCTTATTCTTCTTATTACTACTATTAAGATATGAAATCTCTCTCTCTCTCTATATATATATATATATATATATATATATATATATATATATATTTTTGTCAATTTATATATATATATATATATATATATATATATATATATATATATATATATATATACTTTTTGCGCGATGATAGATATCGATATAATTTGTTCCGATGAGAAACTGAAGTTGCACGCCTAAGCGTAGGTATTTGTGTATGTATATATATACATATATATATATATATATATATATATATATATATATATATATATATATATCTTTGCTCTGTCTTACTACATCGAGCACTGTTATGTTTACACCTCTTGAATAAATTTAATGATTATTTATTTGCTTTGTCTGTCTATTCACGTTAACACGCGCGTATACGGTTGCTTATATCTGATCGTTTGATTTATCCTAATCACTTTCTCTCTCTCTCTCTCTCTCTCTCCATCTATCTATCTATCTACCTCTATCTATCTCTCTCTCTCTCTCTCTCTATATATATATATATATATATATATATATATATATATATATATATATATATATATGTGTGTGTGTGTGTGTGTGTGTGTATAGATTATGAAAAACGCGAAAATCCGTATGGGTAAACCTAAGGAGGATAAAATCCAGAGAGCTCAATGTAAATCCAGAGCAAATAATTTAAATAAAACAGACCACTTTAAGGTTCCATGTAATAAATTATTTCACCACAGCCCTTTTAAAGGACTGCGGATCATCAGACTTTATTTCCAAACCTTTGGAAGTAAAGTCTGATGATACGCAAACCATTAAATGGGCTGTGGGGAAATAATTTATTACATGGAACCTTAAAGTGGTCTGTTTTATTCATAATATATATATATATATATATATATATATATATATATATATATAT